TTTACGATCAATAATAATGTGACGTATTATGTTATAATTTGGAAAAATTTGGAAATTATTGAAAACATAAATAAAATTTATTTTCCAAATGTTGATTAATTCGATAATGATTACGTAAAGTGATCAAACAATGATTTTTATATTTTTCAACGTGTGATCGATAAAATTTAAAGTCCCTTTTTAAATAACATTTTTAACTTTTATCTTGCTTATTCAATTCGCGGTATTTAAGAAAATATCCGCGCCAAGGATGATATGATATCTCCCATTGTTATTATGATACTTTCTTGTTCTTGCACAATGTATTAGAGAGGAACGAGTTTCATAGTCATTTTTCACGCGCGTACTATCATTATTTATCGTATCTAGTTATTACTCTAGTTGATTTGAGCGCAAAGGCATCGAATTAAACATTTGTATATTATCTTGGCTTAGTCTTGTGAAGGGAAACCTGTTTCTGTTATTTCGTTATTATGTAGTTACAATGACGCGCATGCTGCGATAATCATGGTAGACTGGTAGAAAAAGCGGGAAAATTTTCTTTATCTTTATTTTTCAAGTATAAATTTCAATTTAAATGTAATTGTTAATAAATTTTACCAATTTATTGGCCCTTTCGTTTGCCGTTATTGATATTGTGGTATGCAACTTCAACGACATGTCACGTTTATGAATCGTTTATATAAGCAGTATAATCGGCTCGTCTCTTTCTACGTGTATGCATATGTGTGTATGGCGCTTACCTACGCGCGTTGCACCAACCTAGAAGTCGATGTGTGCCAAGGTTACTCCATAGGTATTATTATAGGTAGCATTTCTATGTGTTTCGAGGTGAAAACCTACGACGCGGAATTTATCCTGATCATTTCCGTTGATAGCGAATAATTGCTCGAATAATTACATATGCAATTTAATCAATTTTATTATGTAAACGTCGAATTGCGACATAATTTTAATATGTTAGTTAAATGATGATTGATTATTATCAAAGCCTATTTAACTATGCAGTTGTAGGTCAAATTTAAATAATATTAATTATTAATAATAATGATATAATGTAATAATAGCTGATGAAATTCCTTAGCGCATATTAGAAAAATCAGATAAGGAATGATGGCCGGAGTTGTTGGTTATCATCCTATTGAGCGTGTTTAGATTTTAATAGACTTTAAATTAGCAACGTTGCAAAGCTAGGTCACTGGATCAAAGTCAAATCATGTACATGGATTATCATCTATTTGCTTGCTCTGAAGAGAATCACGTTATCGGTGTTCCATAATTTAAATAATATATCGCGTTTTGAGTTTTGAAAATTTGATTATTTATCAATATATTTAATAATTACCTTTTCTATCATTTATATATATATATATAATTATAATTATATAATTATATGTTATATTTTTTCCTTTGTCAAGGTTGTAATCCAGAAATTCAAAGAACGGCACAACCAGATTTAGAGATGGCCCTTCAACTATTAGAGGAACATGCCTCAAAAATAAATCCTATGAAAGCCCTGAAAGTTTTACCGGATTCTGTACCTATCGGTAGAATAAAACATTTCTTGGAAGTTGGTTTGCAAAATAATTTGAATGCAAGGCGAAGAACACAGGTTCTCAAAGGGCTGCTTTACGCGGAACATTTACAAGTACAGGAACAACGAATGCATTATGAGTCACAGAGCGTCCTCATGACAGAGTTTAATATATGTCCAGTTTGTAAAAAACGCTTTGGCAACCAAAGGTGTGTAAATATTATAGATTTTATAATTCAAAGTATAAAACCTATCAAATTATATTTGTTACAAATTATATTTATACGATATTAATTAGTTCTGTTTTCTTAGTGCTTTCGCGAGGTATCCTAATGGTGATATAGTACATTATTCTTGTCAAGATCGCAAAGGATAAAAAATAGCAGAGCTACGCAACATTATATAATCACAGTTATATATCTAAGATCGTAAATATTTAATGTATGTTCTTTTTATATAGGTTTCATATATGCATATAAAATTTCGATATATATATATTATATATAAAACTCATAGATTATTCCTATTAGAAAAAAGAACTACTTATTAATTATTATCATTAAGGCTATTTCTCGTAATAAATCTAAATTTCAATAAATCAATCAATTTTATTATAATTTCTAATAAATCAATTAATTTCTATCTTTCTTTGCGCTTTTTATATTGCATACTATAAAAGAGATAAATATAAAAATAAATATTGTAAAAAATGTAAAAGCAAAGTATTCTGTTTCTTCGTGCTTTTACAAGACACTTTGCAGCAAAGTAATTGTAAAATAAATAAAATTTTGAGAAGATACATAGTATCTCTTGTATGAGTTATTCTTTGTATAATTGCACTATATTTTTCTTTCTGTGCACTCAAAATAAAATAAGTATATATCTAAATATTGAAGGGATAGAGAGAAAAGAAAGAGATAAATGATACATAAAAAACGGTGCAGCTACAAAAAACAAATCTATTGATGCTGAAGCTATGTGATTGGCTACGTAATCGCGCGCGTGATATTCGAAATT